GCCTATTCCTTATCATGACAATAATATTACACAGCATGTTTGAAAGGCAACCGTATGGTACACCTGGTCGTTAAAGGGTTAAGCATAGTAATAGTAGGTTGGCTTTGATTCATTGTAGAGCACTGCTGAATGCTACATGTATATTCCATTAGTGTCATTGTCTGAAAATTTAATCAAATTGATAATAAAACCAATGGATAATAACTTAAGTGTCGGACATCATGTATTTTCTTGCTAACTGCATTTGTGGTGCACTACTCCAAACATACCTAGCCCATGCTCTCTCACAAAGCTGTAATATTAATTATTTTTTATTTTTCACACAATGATTTTCCCCCCAACCACTCTTGCACATATGTAGTTCTGCAGCTCACTAATGGGAGGAGACATCCCTTTTTTCTCCATCCCCTTGATACAATTTTCAATAGTAAGCTAAATTTCTCTAATTAAAAAAGCTAACGAGTTAGAATGGATATTTTGAGCAAAAGATAAAAATTTTAACCAATATACTCCATGTTTACTTATGCACAATAATATATTCATTTAAAAGCTACTTTTGATAAACTATGGGGTAAGAGAGGACCATTTGTGGGGTAAGATAGGACCACTTGTGGGGTAAAACAGGATCATGTAGTGGTCCTGTCTTACCCCATGTCCGGTCCTTTTTTACCCCATTTTAAAATATATGTCAGGCAGTGATGGTAGCAGGTAGGAATGCCTAGTATGTCTCAAAAGTTGCTTATTACTTGAGGTTACCTGCCTACATCCACAAACCTGGCCAAAATTTTTTTTGGAATCAGACAGAGCTTATTTCCCAAATAGGGTTAACTATTTTGTGACCCTTCTTTACATAGGTTTTTTTCAAAAATTACCCAAATATTCATTATTTGCAGAACAGGGTTGAAACAAACACTGAAATGACTGGCAATGATTGCTCTAACATATTCTTTCATCAAATTAAATTCAGTGCAGTTAGAATGCACGTCATGGGCTGGTCCTTTCTTACCCCATGAAAGCTGCGATCCTGTCTTACCCCATTTGACTATACCTGGAGTTATTTGGAGTTATTTTACCGAAAAATATAATTGATTTTACCACCCAGTCTAAGATACCTCAAGAGCTGGGGTAACAAAGACCATCACTTTTTTTAAATAACATAAAAACTATGAGAGGCAGGAGCCAGCAATTTATGGTGAGTGAAGCTAGAGTATAGACCTGTATTTTGCATGCTTCAATTCAAGTTTAATTTAGCTAGTAAAAAAATGGTATCATTCAAAAAAAAAGTGGTCTAAGTTACCCCATTTTACAGTAATATATCATGAATCAGACAATCAATTATTTGATGAATTTGACAAATTTCAAGCTACCACATAACAGAACTTCAAAATTCAAACCCACAAACACTGCACGACATGAAAAACAAGAAAGCAAGAGGCCAGAGAAAAAAGAACTATAATGAATGTTGGGATCAAATTAATTTAAGAAAGCCTAAAGGGGTTCCTAAAGTATATAAACTATTTGCCAAGCTAGAGTCTAATTTTTATCAAAAAACTGATTATATATAGTGGGCCACACAGCCATGAAACAAGGGGTCATGGAAATGTGCATTTACTTTCTAACAGATAAAATAAATATTGTCAAGAAGTTTTACAGTCCACTTTACAATCTACAATGCTTTATTGAGCATGGCTTATGTTATTCTATCACTGTTAGCACCAAGTTTGATAGATGAACAACTGACAGAAGGCTGATGAGCAATAAGCAGATAACCATTTGCTTAAAATTTAAGTTGGTACCGGTATTGTATTAATTGAAGGACAGACATTGGTAGAACACACAATAAAGTTTAT